AGGTTTTATTGTTAGTTAGCTTTAAGGCTTAGCTACTGCACAGTGGTTCTTAAGGTTAAAATTGACCTGAACACTAGCATGAAGAATATTTTAATCCCTTAAGAAATATAATAAATTTTGTGTATACACACTGTTGTGGCTCAAAGAAACAAATCTTTATCTTTATATTGTTGATTTATAGTTGTGGCTACAGAACAGGTATATTTAGGCCATATTGATTTTGTGTTGATTTTTCTGGTCTTAGACCAAGTCTCCCGGTTGATGGCTTGCTCTGTTATAGATGTTTTTTTCTACGTACGTGTCTGCATCTCTTGGCATTTCAAACCGGTACTGCTGGTGCTAGTGGCGCTCTAGGCGGCTGGTCTGGAAACTTATAAGGAATCAAAACTCCCCCGTTACTTTCCTATGATAGAAAGGAACAGGGTCAGTTTTAAGGTAGCTTATGCGAGGCATGATCCAAATGATTTGAGACCTGTTATTTTCTTTGTTTACGGCCCAGGAACTAGATACAGTCACCTTCAAGGGAGTTGATTTTTAGTCAGTGAATTCACTCAAAAACGGAGACTTTAATATATTTAGTTTAATTCTATTTTTAGTGCACCTCTAACAATCAGGAAAAAAAAACTCTGTGCAGCTCTGCTGATGTTTATACTTTACATACTAGTTTTTTATTTAAAAAGCAATAAAGGTATATTATAAGCATGAGTTGCTGCTTCTAAATATGGATTTATATACTTGATGATGGGCGTCATGGTTTTTTTTCACTTAGAAAGGACGTGAGTGTACTTGTTACCTGGGGATGAACTAGCATGAGTCGACAAGGACAGCTTTGGTTCATACAAGTGCAATATTTTCTTGATATGCAAATTTATTTTAGTGTACAGTATTCTCGTAAAGCCGCGTTACCTACATTTTAAAAAAAAACAAGATTTAACAAGTGTTGAAATAACATTTATACATTTGTGAATGTTTCATTGGTTATTAGTTACAAAATGATGAAAATTATATATGAAGTTCACCAGTGCATACAATACACTAGTAATAAAATACCACTTATAGAACTATATAATTCTTCAATACAAGAATTCAATACAAGAATTCTTCAATACAAGAATTTAGTAATGGTACATGTCGAGGCCTGGTCACAGACCGGGCCGCGGGGGCGTTGTTCCCGGAAACCCTCTCCAGGTATGTGCTTCCTACACGTTAAAGTCTATCCTAAACAACAGTATTTTACATTGGCAGAAGACCGTCGAATATGTGAAGTATTATATGTATTAAATGTAATGGTTATAATTATAACCATAATTTTTAAAGAGGTAGAGGGGTAAGCCAGTGGAAGGCCTTGGTCAGATGGCTTATTATAAGCTCCAACTGTGGGACATCATATAACTGAGACCCGCGTCAGGAAACACTTGTGCTGTTTCTTAACAAACTTTACCTAACCTAACTTATGTGAAGTAGACACTAGAATAAAAACGTTATTATTTGAGAGTGTTTTCTCCCATCAGGGTGAAGGGCTCTTCATCCAAAGATCTGAAGCGACCCTTCCCTTTCCTTGACTGCCTCCTATTTTCCCAGCCGTTGTATGATCTCTTTATGTATATCGCTCCTCTTTTTCCCTTCATGAGCGTAATAATAATAATAGCCATTTTTGTATTATTGCACTTATTGGCGTATATTGACAAATTTTCTTACAACAGTATCTAAGAAATCAATGTCGGCTGTAGGAGGATGAGTTGTTTCGTAATATGGAGATAGGGTGGAGGTGTTGGAGGGAGGGCCGAGGTGTTGGAAGTTTTAGTTTAGTTTAACATCTTTAATATGCACCCCATACCCATCCTGTGGGCGGTAGTCAAAAGATTACAGAGGTACGTAATGGGTCCAGAGACTGGGCCCCAAAGTTTTGATAGCTGAACAAGGTACATAGGTAATGAATCATGTAAGTAAATTTACTTACTTACGTTTATACATGGTGATAATCATGAACAAATTATAAAGTAATGAACGTGTTGGAAGGAGGGGTAAAATTGTGAAGAGATGGGCGAAGTTGTGAAGAGATAGATGAAGGTGTGAAAAGAAGGGTAAATGTTGGGAGGAGTGAACGTCTGAGGAATGGGTAAGAGGTTAACAAGGTAATCTGACTGACTACACATTTAATAGGTGAGAGAGAAAGGTTAGTTCAGTAAGGGTGGTGGTAACTTGCTTGAGGTAATGAAGCACGAGCTGGGGGTGGTAAAAAGTGAAAAAGTGTGTGGGCACCAGAGAGCGGATGTGACACAGGTATTATCAGTCTCACTATCTTGATACTCTTTTGTATGTCAGTTGTCGACAAGTCATCAGTGAATAGGTTCTTGACACATTTCCCGGGCAGGACGTGTCACATGGGCAAGTTTCCTCACACCAGTTCACTTAGCAATACATAAATTAGAAAAGGCATACGTTGCACAACAAGCTTTCATTAGGGCGACGTATTTTTCTGTGTAGAGCTTTGCCATCAATTCTTGATGAAGATATTTTGGTCTTATTCGTCTGTTGTGGGTCTCATTCTAAGGAAAGGTGTATTATAACTAGTGCCAGGCTTTGATGTGAGGTGAGGCGGGATGACAGGTCTTTAACAGCCTACACGTGAAAATAACACAGGATATCTGAGGACAGAAGACCTGAAAATGTGATCCTGTGTTTTTAAATTGGTTGGAAAACAAAACTAGTACACTAGTGGATGCTTAACCACGGGTATACAGCACCAGCATGCCGCCTGGAGCCGCCCCAGCACCTGGGGCAGCTTCAGGATTTCTATATAGGAAAGGTTTAGGGGGTCGCAATATAGTTAGAGCGGAGAAGAGCTAGAAGATTTTTCTTGAAATTTAGTTTAATATCTTATGCACCCCATACCCATCCTGTTGGCGGTAGTCAAAAGATTACAGAGGTACATAATGGGTCCAGGGACTGGGCCCCAAAGTTTTGATAGCTGAGCAAGGTACAAAGGTAATGACCTCCAGGTAGATCTGGTCACAATCTTGACAAGTTACAAAGGTATTTACAGATTACAAAGGTACATAATGGGCCCAGGGACTGGGCCCTAAAGTTCTGATAGCTGAACAAGGTACAAAGGTAATGAACTCACAAGTTACAAAGGTAATGAATCATGTAAGTAAATTTACTTACTTACGTTTATACATGGTTACAATCATGAACAAATTATGAAGTAATGAGCAATTCACACGTCCACACCCGGTCACAACTGTGATGAGTTATTGGTGCAAATATTAATTGTTGGGTCACACACACATACACACACACACACACACACACACACACACACACACACACACACACACACACACACACACACACACACACACACACACACACACACACACGGTAATGCTTTATTTACAGGGAGCAAAGTCCAGGATATTTTTTCCAGAATGGTCTGTAATATACCACTGTGGATAAAATACTTTAACATATCTTGAACATTTCGGATACTTGTAGGGGTATCAGAATCTTACAGGATTCATTACAATGTAGTGATCCTTTGTTTTATTAATATGATGTAAAACGTAGCTAAGGTAGACCAAGTGAACGGGTTATCATATGTGTCAGAAGACAATCTGTTGTTTCCTGACGAATGAGCCAACGCTGGTATGACAGCGGTTGCTGTCATACCAGCGGGTCATGTTTTACGAAGGCCCGTGTCAGGAGGCACTTTCCTGGTTCCTGACCAATAAACCACCATTACCATTCCATGCACACGAGGTAACACAGGAAGCATAGTTACAATGTTCTTGTGGATCACACTGTCTAGCAGTTGGCCAACTGGCCCCTGCTAGACACCATTCCCACTCGTATGTCTGTAGAGCCTGTTTTTAAAGCTACCCAAAGTTTATTCCAAACATACACAACTTGTCAGGCGTTGTCCACAGCCTGACTGATTAAAGACCGGGAAGTAATTATCAGTGGGAGGATCGGACCTCCGCTACTACTGGTACTGATGGGAACTTTTGCTTCAGACTCTCTTAATGATAATGGAATTCTGTTCTTTTCTCAAAGGAAACGTAATTATCATGTAATAATGTTGGTAGAATTACCGACAATATGTTAAGTAAAAGGACACTAAGTGCAACTAATGCAACGTTGTATTGTGGCAACGTTTCCCTCTTTCAATTTCCTGGAGAGTGAAACGTTGCCACAGTAAAATGTCACATTAGTTGCACTTGTGTCCTTTTATCTAACATGATTATCATCATTCACTAGGGTTCTCAAATATCCTTTTAAAATACACTAAAAAGCTTCTTCTTTTATTTCCCCTTGAATTCATTTAATGAAACAATTTTCACCCTTCCCTCTCATTAATTGGACTGTCGATTCTATATTTTGCTCTGGTACTCAATCCCAACACTATAAGTTTAATTCCAGCCTCATTGGTTCAATAACTACATTTCTTTTCCTTCACGGGAGTGAGGGAGGGGAGTCTTAATGCTATTGAAGGGTTTTTGTTCCAAGAAATTTTAGTTATCCTCCTCTTCCCAGGATTAAACCTAATTATCCCACACCTCGTGTTAGCCATTACCCTTATGGGTTTAGCGATTTTCCATGAATATAAAATTGCCTCTCCCGGTCATCACCAAGTTAATATATCGTGTCTGCATATTGCCTACCCTTTAAGGTACCTTGATGCTGATGAACGGCTCTTCATCCACAAGATCTGCTATCCATTACTTCCCAATGCGCTGTATGACCCCTACGGGCCCCTCAAAGAAGGTTCCTTGATGTTGGTGAGAGGCTCTTGATCTAGGGAATTGGATCTGTGCTCCAGTTCCCTGAATTAAGCCTGAATACCTTCCACATTCCTCCCCCACCCCAGGCGCTGTATAATCCCAGCACTCCCCCATAATAATAATGACCCCCTATGGGCTTAACCCTTCCTCGGGATTATAGTAATAATAATACTGGCTAGATGCTGAATGTGCCTAATATTGCACATATCTTTATAGGTGTCGACACTGCAGGATATCGCAAACTCGGGGAGCTGGAGTCGCCCTTCTCTCAACACGGTGACATCCTCTGATTTACGGAGGTAGCCATGAATATGTCTGCTGCTGTGTTCTAGTGGGTAGCAGCAACAAACTCTTATTTTATATCTATATCAGAAACTGTAACAAAAATGTGATGGCTCCACAAACTCTGAATTACATTCGTGATGTTGGACAAACTCAGTTCACTGATGGCAGTCTCTTCCCAGTGAACCTTAAGAAGGTAGGTGCCTAACCTGGCACCCGTGTACGGGGACGAGGCAACGGCAGGTGCCACCACTTGTGAGGCAGGATGCCGTATCTCGGGGACAACGAACAGCAGCAGCAGCATCCCAAGTTCACCACAGACTTCAGCTATGTCAAGAAGCTGCCGGGTGCCCTAATTGTCGTCCAGCTGGTTAGTTTGGAGTTCTTGTTGTGTGCTTGTGCACGCGTGTGTGCGTGCCTGCACGTGTTTTTTTGTGTGTGTGTGCGTGTGCTTGTTTGTATGTTTAACAAAATCACTGCTAAACGTTAATTAATACATAAAAACTATGTAATTCTGAAGAACTCCGTCTCATAACGCTGTCACTAGTGAAATTAGTTTTGTTAATTTTATAGTTTTATTCTTTCTTGTCGATTTACCATACAAGTTATTTCCTGAGCACACAAGTTGAGACTCCACATAACATATCGGTGCCTAGATGAAGAGCTTTCGATTCAAGGAAATTTATTTCCCATTTATCAGGTGCTATATGATCCCTGTGGGGTTAGCGCTTTCACATTAATGTATACATATGTACTGAAGGTTCTGTCTTGCCACAGGTGTGTACATGTGTGGGCTTCTTTCTAGCCCTGGGTGGCTCCCTCGTCTGGATGGTCAAGACCGGACACGGCTTCTACACCTTCATCTCCTTCGTCAGCTTCTTGAGCTGCATCTCCTGGCTGGTGGTCCACGTCTTGCAGCTCTACGCCCTCTTCAAGACCACCATTAACTGGAACAAAGTGGTAAGAGAACAAAATTTAAGAATGTCATTGAAATGGAATACTTATGTACAGTAAATGTAATCATAGCTTCATATCATTAATGATAAACAGTATTTGCAAGTTAATATGTACAACACATATGCAACCCTTGGGTTACGTTTAGGCAATAACGATACCCATGTATTGCACATGTGCCTTATTCATCGTAACTCTACCATAGGTGACACATTGGGTATAACATTAACATGTACGCTATTGTGGTGCAGGGCATAGTGTACAACGGCGTCAACGGCTTCCTTATGATGGTGGCCAGCTGCGTCATGGTGGAAGTCGCCTCAGAGGCCAGGGCGCTGAAAGCTGCTGGAGTAAGTAATGAACCTCCTTCCTTTTCAGTGAGGTGTTATGAGGCTGGTGAAAAGCTTTTTAATCCAAAGAATTGGATCTATCTTCCACTTCCTAGGAGCAAGCCTGAGTATCCAAGGTGCTATATGGCCTCCTATGGTTTAACGTTTCGTAATAATAATCATAATAATATTGGAACCCTCCTTACCTCTTTCCCCGACATGCGGCAAAAATCCTCCGCTTATGCTTTTTTTGGGACATCAATAAACACGAAAGGAAAACAGTAGTTTAAGAATGTTTTTGTACTATATTAAAATGTTGGGTGTGTTTTGAGTTCTGCTTCATAGTTGGTCTAACCTCAGCGCTTTTTACCTACCCATATTAAATTTATATAAATGTCTATCCACAATCCTGCTACCGTCTACACTGTCGTGATCCTCCTCACACCTTACCCCGTATGTATGTGTGTGTGTGTGTGTGTGTGTGTGTGTGTGACCACGTTCTTCCTTCAGGTGTTTGGGTTCTTGGCCTTCACGGGGTTCCTGGCGGGGCTGGTGTGGGAGGTGCTGGCGTGGCACAAGAACAGAGACTCCTGCGAAGCCTTCACTGCCTCGGTCGTGCGCGGTCCAGACCGACGTGAGTACCTGTCCACTGGTCTTGTCGACTCCGTCCACCTGCCCTGACTCCTGCCTACCTACCTGCCCAGACTTCTGACCACTTGCCCTGACTCCTGCCCACCTGCCTGAACGACTCCTGACGTCCCCTTAGCATGACTGGCTGCGCGAGTAACTTGTCCTTTTAACGATTAGAGGACGGAGGATCGAGCCTCCACTACTCTTTGCGCCGAATGGGCCACTCGCGTTAAGCGTTTCACATAAGGTTAAATATATATTCTCCTGCCCTCCAACTTTAACCTCAGTCCCCCTTTAATGCAAATTTTCTATTAATTTATTGTTAATGACACGTATCATGTGGGTGGTAATCAGAAGATAACAGATGCGCATATAAATAATTTCTAGACAGGAGTTATCAATTTTGGGCACGACTGTCTAGAAAAGTCACTGTTTTTCACAAGCAGCACAAAGAGAGACGAGCACGTAAACAAAAATTCACCTAAGGTAGAGCTGAATAACTGGTACGAGCTTAGTGCTTTTCTTGAAACTAGACTACTAATGATTATAATATTTCACCTTATGGAAGAAAAGATACATTTCCGTACCGGAATCACATGATTCGGGAATCCATGTGATTTGTGAATGGTTAGTTTATTATCTTTATTATGCACATCATACCCATCCTGTGGGTGGGAGTCAAAAGATTACAGAGGTACATAATGGGTCGAGCTACTGGGCCCCAAAGCTGTGATAAGTAAGTTACAGTGGTGTCACAGTTATAATGAGTTATTTATGCAGACCTGAATTCATTCACAAAAGTTAGTGTAGTTTACATGTGGAGTTGAATTATTCATATTACCTTATATTTTACCAAGGTATGGTTGAATTTAAATAAGCTTAAGTGGTTATGAGTTATTTACACTAGGCAAAGTCAGGATATTTTTTTTTTCAAAATGGTAGGTAATATTCAACAGTGGACTTTAAAATACTTTGACATTTTTTGAGCATTTGTGAGTGAATTGTCTCTGAATTCTTTGTGGATGATAATGGTGATGCTTTGGTTGCAGCTATTTTATGAATCATACGGGTTTAACGTGTGTCTTTTAACATAATATAAATTTGTTGCAGCTGACACTCCAGACAGTCAGTGTTTGGATGTACGGGGGGAGGTGGCTGGCGACCATGACGACGACGATGATGGGGCTGCTGTCGGCTTCGTCGGCATGAGGGCAAGACCAGTGTCCTCCTTCCTGCAGGTTAGTCACTCGCCCCAACTCTTACCTGTCACTGTCGTAGGAGGTGCCTTGATGCTGGTGAAAATATCTTAGTCCAGGGAATTGGAACTTTATTTATTTTGTGCAGCTTTCTATCTTGATATTTCAGAGGTCTATGATAGGTGTTACTAATATATTATAATCTCAGTTGTTTTATTATTGCACTTCTCTATACGTTAAGGGTCACGGAATTTGATCCAAGGGCTTCGTGAAACGTTGCCGAATTCATAATAGTTTTTGTCATTGGGTATTCTTCATGAACGGAATCTAAAATCACAACTATTTCTATGTGGGGGTCCGCGAAATTTTCTGATAAAAATAGGGGCCCTTATACTTACAAAGTTGGAAACCACTGCCTTAGTCTGTGATAAGAAAGTAAGTTTTAGTATATTATTACCTCTTCCTTCTATCCATTTTTTTTACATCAGCCTGCCCCCAATGGAGAGGTGACCACGCCCATGCTGTACGCCCCTGGATGGGAGGAAAAAGAAAAACACTCTGATGTCAAAGCCGCCGTCAGCAGCCAGCACTCTGAGAAGTCCTCAAATTCCTCCATTGAAGGAGAGTGGCAAACACCTTCATGAGCCTTGCCTTTATTCGTCTTTCCTAATGATACCCATACCTAGTGTTGTCTCTGAAGATACCGATACCTAGTGTCGTCTCTGAAGATACCGATACCTGAGTGTCTTCTCTGCTGACACAGAAACGTGTGTGTCCTCCCTGATGACTCTAGACTTGGTATTCTCTCTACTTGCTGATACTACACAATCTGTGGCTGACCCTTTCCCTCCCTGCAGACGCTACAGTCTGGGTATCCTCCCGGCCTAGTGACACAAAACTGGACTACTATGGAACCCGTAGGATCCAAGGAGAAATGTATTGACATTTAAAAATGGAATGTAATCAAATCCACACACGTGTGCCTCTCATTACATTAATAGTATGCAAGACCAACGAGTTGATAAATAAGACATATGTGCAACACCTGGGCATCTAGTAGGGAGACATTTCGCCAACCAGTTACATATCTCAAGTCAGTGTTTGCTGGGGGGAAGGGTGTGACTGCCTCTTAATGTACTGTCTTCAGTACATTATATCTGTAGTGAATTGAAAAAGACCTCCATTTCCCCTGGTTGGCGAAACGTATTCATAATGAATATACCCAGGTTAGGTAAGGCAAGATTCGTGAGGAAACAGGACAAGTGTTTCCTGACGCGAGATGCACATGTATCTTTCCACCAAGTATGGCTTTCTCTGGTTATAATGTTGATCCATTCGAGTTTATTTTTCCCAGGCATACTTGACACTGGAAAGTATTTCATAGATGGAATGAAGCGTGTTGTTGAATATACCTTACCCTTCAAGAAGGGAGGAAGGGTCCCTTGATGCCAGTGAAGGGGCTCTTATTCAAGGAACAAGCTACTGTCACTTTCTTTGGGTCACATCTGATTGCCTCCAATTCTCCAGGCGCTATATGACCCTTAAGGGTTTCCTGTTTTTCTATGAATATAATAAAACGTACAAACCTTAGTTCTGCATTTTAGACTGATGTGTTCTGTGTCAACTTATGAAATGAGAGACATTTATAAGAAATAGAGTTGACTAGTAATACTGATGTGTGATGTAGCCTTGTTCGCTGGTTATATTAATGATGATAATGGATCTACAGGCCTATCGTTGCTCCATGATAAAATTATCTCTTGGCGAAGGTTGATCGGCTGTAGTTGACAAGTATTTTGTGTGTTCATTAATCATGTAAACATGT